TCATTAACCGCCTAATCTCTTTGCGGCGAGGTATCTCCTGATAAGAAGATCTTTAAGGTGCGAATCCGTCTGTTTCCTGAGTTTGCTCACGTTCAATGTCGTTGAATTTTCGAGTTGCGCCCTCTGCATCACTGATCGAGCAAAACAGGAAGAAACCAAGGGTGTCCTTACCAAGGTGGATGACGTCAAATACCCGATCTTTCGAAGCGCGATAACTCAGTTAATATTGAATGTAGGAAGTTACTGTTTGGACAAATCTTATTATTTTTAGCTAATTTACAAGAATCAAGCATCAAAACACGATTCTTTGACCAGCGCAACGGACCCATTCTATCGAGCTTCATGTAATATGAGGGTGAAACCCGGGAAGAAAATTAAGTCATCATGTCCCTGGAACTCTAATCTTCTACAGTTGCCGAAACCCTCAGCAGCACAGCCACACATTTTCCTGCTTTGTCTACTGCTCATTTAAAAGGATGAAGAAGTTAAAGTGCTGCAGCAACTGACAACGGTGCCGCGGTTACTGAGGCGAGAGAAGTCCTGACTGGAGATCCGTCAGGATTTCTAAACGGAAAAATTAACTCTAATCATTTAGGAACCTTTTTGCCGATTGTTGTCAGGTTTTAGTAAGTAAGTGCCAAATTGAATATTGCTGATGTCGAGCAGTTTACCGAGTATTTAGGGTTTTGAACAAACGTGATAATTGTCTGGATTACAGTTTACAATTGATCTTAAAAGTTACTATGCAAAGGTGACTGAGCACTTATTTATGCTGTTAGGTGTTCCTTAAAAGTCGTGTAAAAACTTATGAGAAAACTTTTTTTTATATATATTTTTTTTTTCATGCATTAGTCTTTGGAAACACATGCTATTTGCACTCACATCTCAGCTATGTTGCATACCTCGGTGGGTATGAATCATTGTTTTCTATTATATCTTCTCTTGGATTTTTCAATTTCTTTAAGAACATAGGTTTTTCTAGTGTTTATGTGGAAAGAGTAGAATTGTATCTCTGAGCGTAAAAATTAGAAGATAAAAATCTGAAGTATCTCCAAGTCTCCATCTGAGGTGCAGCTCCTCACTCTGAAAATTTCCTAGGCACAGAAATGTCAAGTTTTGAACATGTCGACGATTTTGCTATGTAGATTTCCTCCTCCAAAAATCATTAAATCTATCATGTGTCTCAATTGCTTTTAGATTTGTTCCTATCCCCATCAAACTTAAAAATATGTCTCCTTGACTTGCAAAAATGGCGTTAAATAGTATTGATACAAACATGATTTCTTATCATGAACAACCATTTGCAAATTTTGAACTGACATATTTGTGGAAGTAAAAGAGAAAATCAAAACCAAAAATGTCCAGAGCTCGTTTCTTTAAAATAGGAAAATGTTCCTTTTTACTCCCTGCTTTCTCTCTCTCCGCCTCCGCCCTCTCTCTCCCTCCCTCCTTCTCTTTTCCCTTCATTGCCCATAGTTTTAGGAAGAGTTATCTTCTAAAGTCAACACTGAAAAAAATGGGTAGTTTTCAAAAAAAAAATTCAAGATTAATTACAGCTATACATTTACTAAGTTGGCACAAATGACAGGAATCTCGATCTTGTTAAGGAGCCTGTCAAAGCAAATTTTCGATCCTAGCATTTTTTGCACCCTTTCTATGCGGGAGGTCAGTTTCTTGTTTCCTAATTTTTAGAAACAGGTTTCTTTTTTCAAGCAACCTGCTGGCTGAAAACAAAGCAACAGCAAGTGGTCCATTCCCTCTGATCGTCTCTGGAGGCATTTACTCTGTTCACAAATTTTAGGAAAACTGGTTTCTCCTTTCAATGCAATGTTTATATGTCTCTTAAGCAGACTATTGGTTCGACAGATGGCAACAATCCTGTGGCCTGTTACATCTTTCCCCGTTTACTGATTTTAAGAAAACTTGTTTCTTCTTCAAAGCTAAGGTTCGCTCGTTCAAAACACAAATTACTTTAATTAAACTTGAAAACGTAAATTCCTTCAACTAAGTAAATCGGGTGTTCTTCAAACGAGGGAACTGATGGTTTGTTTCAAGTCAATGCTGCCATGTAACAAGTGACAATTCTAAAGAATGTATTATTTAAATTTAGAAAATTTCGTTTTTAGTGAGGGATGGAAACCCCTGAAATATAAAACAATGGCTTTCAAGTCCTTATATAAGTAAATTCTCTGAAAAAGCTACATGCATAATCCAAAAATATGACATCAATGTCTTATAGTTTAAAAAAAATGTTGGAAATTTGTTTTCAGTAATTAGTCAGGAAATAAAGGAAATACAGAAAAAAGGAGTAAGATTTATAAACTGGAATACTAGTGTGGCCAGAAATACATCGGTCCATCCCTTGGTTATTGTCAGCATAAAAGAACCCGTCAAAAATACCAACTCAAATCGACAAGGGACCGGAGACCTCCTCCACCAACAATCACCTAATGGACAAAAAACATCCCACGACTATATTCTCTACCATTTTTATTGAATATACAAAAATGGTCATAAAAAGGATAATCTGGAACAATTCGTGATCAAATGATTGAAACATTCTGGCTAACTTTAAACTTCCGAAAGTAAAAGTTGGGGGGCAAAACTGGTTCCCCATCTTCGACCAGAGACTCTTACCCTACACATGATCAATGTAACAACCCAGGATAACTGACCACCTTATCACAGCTATCCTCAGTGTTGATAAAGATAATTTTCTCTTTTGTTCAGTCATTTTTACTGACAGTTTCGGTATTCTTTAGTTCGTTTTTAAATTCGCTTAAGATGCTGTATTTTATGATTTTTGTTTCGTTTCTTAGTTGACGCGTGGCACACACTAGCAAGTTTTTTATTGTGACTCAAAGAAGAGCTAAATGCTTGAGATAGCTACTGTCGTCAAATGAGAACCAATTCCAAGGTCGGGTCAACAAGGAAAAGGAAAAGCACTTAAGTGTATGAGTATGAACCCCAAAAAAAATGCAACAGCCGTTCATCCGGAAGGGTATGTTATAGTGTCCGAATCGGAATCCACGCAAAAACCTTGATAGAATGCCTATTTTGCATGACCCGTTTTCTTACGAGTCAAACAGAATTCTTTCTTATTTCAATCCAATGAGAAACCTAAATTTCAAGGAAATTAGAATTTGGGGGCATTCATTTTAGTATTTGTGAATCCTGTGTAGTTTTTTTCGCGTATAAGCATTTTAAAAAAAAGAAGGACAAAAAAGCCGTATGTGTTTTCAAGATGCGCACAGGTTTTTGAAGTCAAATTAATTGCAGTCCACAACATGAGATCGTAAAAAGCGATTTCTCAACTTTCACCTAAGGCCGAACAGGGAAATGAAGTTGGTTGAAGCCAAAAATTCCTGGAACAAGAAATGTTTCATTTTTCGTCGCCGAATTCGAATCTGAAGCCAACATAGGTACATTCTTTCCTTTAGTAAATTTGAGGGACAGGGGTTGTTTCATTGTTTCTCGCATGTTCCCAAAAGGTTATTTTGGGGAGCTGAAAACAATTTTGTTCAATTCTTTGGAATTGAATAGACCCAAAAAAGCCCGTAGTCCTGAAGTCCAATTTTGAGCCACTTTTGACAGGCAGATAATAGAAAAGTCGGCTATATCACCTTGCAATTGGAAGAAGTTTTCTAGAAGGAAGCTCCCTTCGAATGTAAAAGAAAAACACAAATTTGCTCTTCGAAAAAATATTTATGAAGCAAAGGATGATCGGTCCCTCCTAAACAGAGCGAGACAGCCTTAAAGTACATTCATGCCTTCTGAATTGCATCTTGGTTCTGCCAAAGTTTTAGATAGGACCCTGCTAACTTCTTAGGGGGGTATATGCCATGATCGATTTTCAATGTTCCCATTGCTCTAAACTTGTCTATGGATACTGATCAAAAGTCATGATTGCGCAAACTTTCTACAAGCTACCGTTTTCGCACAATCCACCCTGAAGTTTCAATAATTCATCGAAGGAAAGGAGGCAGCGCGGCAATTAAAAGTCAAAGAGATCCCTCATCTCAGTAATTGAGTACGGTTGGTGGTGTGTGAATAAGGAAATCAGGAAAACCGGAGCGACAGTCTTACCTCGGATTCCGCACGCCTTTTCGCCAGACCATCCAAATCAGTTGCCCTCTCTCCTCCACTCTCCCCTTTATCTCTCACCGGCTGAGTTTTTCCTTGTTTTATCGGGAATGTTCTCGAGTTTTGAAAGAAAGAGGGACTTTGTTAACTCTTCATCGCCACACTGCCTCTCTTTATTCAAGGAATCATGAAAACTTCTGGATGGATTGTGCAAAAACGGTAGCTCGTAGAAAGTTGGTGCAAAGATGACTTTTGATCAGTATCTATAGATGAGTTTGATGCATTAAAGAAATTTAAAAGCGATCATGGCATACATTCCCGTAAGAGGTTTGCGGGATCCTTTCTTATTGACTAGATATGCCAGCAATCTCATCTAGTTTGAACTGAAAATATAACTGACCCATGTGATGAAGTGACTCGGGTCGCCATAAGCCACCACATTTGAAGCCCATGTTTATTTTGAGCATGCTTTGCTGTTCAATTTTTAGCATCTTATTAATACTCGTACATATTTTGACTGTGTTAATGCTTTTAATGACAGAAGTCCACAGATTGCAGAGATTTTCAATTTTCTCTGTATTTGTATCATACCCTCAGAAGATTTTATGTCTATGTACTACGGTTATAATATACCTACTATAACTTTTATGTCCAGTGCTGAAAATTTGAAGACAAGTTTTCATCGGTAGAGATAAATTGTACCTTGTTTCTTTCAGTAACATCATTTCTTTCTGAATATTTTTTTTCCTTCCTATGAGTGGTATTATTTATTATTATTTTTTTTTTTAAGTGTATTTTCATTTATTCATACGTCTTTATCGAAGCAGTAAATTCATCTAGTGTCTCAAAGAAGGTAGGGTGCAATACATCCGATTGTCATCTTCTTAGATTATCTGTTTTATGTTTTATGCCATCAGCTATTTACTCTCTGGTCTTGGCTGCCTGTGCGAATCACCATGTATCAACCAATCCTTCTTTACACAACAGAGGAACATGGCTGCAGTCTCACCACGTTCTATGTCAGGGTTGAGCAGCATGAACCCACTCTTCTTCTTATAAAAACTTGTAATAATGAAGTAAGTAGCTAACATTACATTTTTCATATTTCACTCAATCAACTGCTCCTACCTCATTCTTGACAGTGATGACGTAAAACATCATTATTTTAATTTTTCAAGTTTTAAGTAGTACATTTTAGGCTCCAGTTTATTATTTTATGCCTCTTAAATGCACAGGTTGCTCTTGTGGCGCAATGTGGTGGTAATTTACACCTCACTAATTACTCTACTATACTGTATAGCCCCAAAGCCCCTTATCCCTCTACAGCTCCCTCTTTATTCACTCTCTCTTTTCCCTATCTTTCTGCATAACGTAACTTTCTGACCCTTCAACTGGTGCAATGGAGCCTCTGAGGTGTCATGGTAGCCTAGTCTTGGGTCTATCGTCAATAATGGCGAATAATGCACTTGCATCTCACACTGCGGTCAGCAGAAAAAAAAAAAAGTCTTTCCAGTTTGCTCACTTGTTATGCAAGACAGTCGCTTTTGCCAGCTATAGTATATATCAAATCTCGTGCTTATTGGTGACAAAACATATTCGAATTAATGAATTTCACCAGCACTAAAACTGACTTTCAAAGTATGAATCATTGCCTTCAGAATTTAATTTTTTGGTAGGATGTGTGTACAGGTATTGATCGTTTCCTTCTAAATACTTTGCTTGATTTAAAGCCCCCCCCCCTACCCCAAATCAAGCTTTGCCATATTTTATTGTCTTCGTTCAAAAAAAAAATCAAGTTTCTTTGTATTAAAGGGACTTTTCACATTGAGTTAGTCCCAGAAAAATGTGAAAATTATTATTTTTTATTACTCATGGACCTGTTACTGACAATTATATTCGTTACTTCTTTAATAAAACTTCCTACTGCAGCATTGCTACAGTATCACAAGAAAAAGTTGAAAGAAATCCTAATTTCTCTTGATGTGCGTTATCTTTTTCAAACCTTGTACATCAAATAAATATGGAAGACTAACGTTGCAGTGTTCAAAAATTCAAGTGTATCATATTTCAAGATCTTTTCTACCTATTTAAACTTATTGTTGTTAATTAATCTTGCTTCTGGAGCTACTTAACTTCACAACTATCAAGCGGCTCTTCCTCATAATCCTTTTTTTTCAACACATTAAGAACAAGTTAACCAGTCTGATGCGTGTAAGAGATACAGCCAAGTGATAAGACCTACCTCAAGTAAAATATCACCAAATTCAAGTTAGGAACATCAAAATAGTCTGAAAATGACTATTTATTAATCTGAAAGTATGAAATTTGTAGTATGAAATGAGTATGAAATCTGTGTAGTTTATAGGTTGCTCCCCTAGTAGCACAAAGACGTATTTACACAAAACTGATTGCGGTGAATGCATGAGTCGTAAGACGGGATGTTGGAGTTTTTTAGCCAATGTGCGTAAAAAGTTCAGCTTAAAGCTGAAATATCATTAGAGAGAGAAAAAGCTCACACACAAGCACAATTTTCCCTCAAAGAGATGTGCTGTTTGGAGCAACACTAGTTACGTCCATTCGGGAAGGCAACTGCAGACGCGTTTCGGCCTTGTTGGGCCAATCCTCAGTGCAGTGCAGCCTCCTGAATATCCTGCTACCAAGCTCGAGAGGTCGTGAAAACTAGCCCGAGACTTAGGCAAGCGGACGCGGCGGCAAGTAAACTTGTGCCATCTGGTGAGCGATTATCCAAACAGCTCCGCATATGCCTGGCAAGGCGGTTTTACACAAAACCGATTGCGGTGAACGCACGGGTTGTAAGACGGGATGTTGGAGTTTTTTAGCCAACTTTTTTTTTTCTTTCTTTCTTTATTGATTATATAGAGAACTACAAGGTATTAACTCTATTTATTATAACTAAGAACTAGGAACTACTTTACAATAATGGGTATTTAGCCAACTAGTGTTGCTCCAAACAGCATATCTCTTTGAGGAAAAATTATCAAAAAGTCAAAAAGTCAGAAAAAAATTCAGTGACGACAGTTTTGAACGTAAAAATCGTACTTTCAAAACGTAAAACATTTGTCGCGTTGAATTTATTTCTGGCCTTTTTTTTAACGTACAATATCTATGATTTTTTACTTATTTAATTTTTTTTCATGAATTTTTTTCCTGATTTTCCATACGTAAAGAAATTTTTACGTAAAGATTTCAGTTCAATCCCCCAATTTTTTTTTGTGTCTTTGATCACAAATTTTTTTCGTTAAGTTCTCAGACTCTGATATTTTACGAGTTCTCTAATGTACATCTTTCGTACTCGTAAAATTTATCAATTTTAATTTGTTTTTTAACGAATTATATTACAAGATGTGCTACTAGGGTCTTTCAAATTTCTCATGTCTGTTGGCAGTTTGTCAAAGTAGCTGATAATCTGGTTTTTCTGGAGGTACGTAAGAAAATCCAACCTAAATAAAATAACAATCCTGCCAACTGTCATGAACTTTCTTTATCTATGATCTCTATTGAATTAGAGTTTTTGTTTTTGGAACACAAAGAAATGAGGAAACAAATGCTTGAAATTGTACTCAAGAAAAAGCTTGTAAGGTTAGGTTTTCTTGCGGTTTATTTGAGCAAACCTGGTTGCTGGCTACTTAGAAACGCTGTCAGCGGACAAAGGAAATTTAAAAAAGAATGTCCCGAACTTCGAAGATTGCATGCTGAATAGTAGATTGCAGACTTATCAGATGAGCCCACCGTGATTTTTGTGTGTTTTTACCAATGGCAAGTCTACCTAATCACTTGGCTGTATCTCTTACATACAGAGTGATCCAGACCACCCGTCCACTATCTTTTTCTCGAAAACGGCGGAGAATTGAGCTTCGGGACCAAAACTTTCATAGGGTAAATCGACCCCAAAGAATCGAATGAAAATATTTTCAGCCTCCCAAAATGGCCCCTTGGGGGGGTTTTGGGGGGGAGCCCTCCCGTTTCTCGCAATTTTCAAATAGAAAGGGTATGTTTTGACTTCAGATTTGGATTCTACGCGAAAAGTTACGCAGAATTAATATGGCGCATGGCCTGTTTGCTCAAATTTTTTTTTACCCCTTATTTTGTCCAAAAATACACGGCTTCTTATGAGGAAATGGGGTTCTTCAGTAATTTGGAGCAAACAGGCCATGCGCTATATCAATTCTGCGTAACTTTTCGCGTAGAATCCAAATCTGAAGTCAAAACATACCCTTGCCGTTCGACATTTTCGACTCATGGCCCTCCAAAGCCCCAAAATTTTTGGGGGGTCGTGGCCCCCAAAATTTTGGAGCAACAGGGGTCATGTGGCACATCAATAAAAAGGTATTGACCTCTCCTTTTAGGAGATTTTTAGATTTTGAAATTTGGATGATTTGGCCACTTACAGCGTCGAATTGAAAATTGCCCCAAAAATGCCCCATAACTCCAAAAAATGGGGGTTTAGGGAAAAAGTGCAAAGAACAAAATGTTCTTATTTTTTACCGTAGATTCCGAATCAAAAGTCAAAACATACCCTTTCTATTTGAAAATTGCGAGAAACGGGGGGGGGCTCCCCCCCCCCAAAAAAAAACTCCCCAAGGGGCCATTTTGGGGGGCTGAAAATATTTTCATTCGATTCTTTGGGGTCGATTTACCCATGAAAGTTTTGGTCCCGAAGCTCAATTCTCCGCCGTTTTCGAGAAAAAGATAGTGGACGGGTGGTCTGGATCACCCTGTACAACAGTCCCATTATATGCTCCCATTTTCAACCCTGGTGCAATGGCACTCTGATTAAGAAATCGACACCAAAGACATTCTGGTTGAAACAGGGCCATTCTAAAGTTTCCGTGCGGACTACTTGCACCGCAGCAGCCTGCGCTAGTAGTGATTAGAACCTCCATATGTCTGCTGATTTGCCCAAAATACCTGCATGTGTTGCTTTCCTCATGATGACTCTTAAAGTTTTTACTCCGATTTGATTAATAGCATTTTGAATGTGTGTACTGAAGAATGCAAGGAATATATCGGGATAATGTACCAATTAGGGCACTTCCTTTGAAGTTTCCAAACATCTCAATTTGAAAAAAAGCTTATTCATTGAGGGTTATTTTTGTTTTCCCATCTAGTATTCTTCTCTTTTCAGTCATTATCTCACCTCTTCGACCAGTGTCTTTTCTCCAGGGAGCAAAGTTCCTAATGCTAAATAATATCAAAACCATTCGGAAAAATTTGTTTTGTTTTTGAACACATTTCTATTCCAGTTTGTGGTATTTGAAAAAAACAATACAAATTTGAGCAAATCAGCATTAAATTATTTTCATATATTCTGAAGTATGGAAAATGCTCTTTTGTTGTATCATATGTGCTTCTTTGACTGTCATAGCGTCCCCCGCCCCTCCACAATTTTTTCAGAGGCTTGAACGGTGTAGAAATGAATCACACATGATCATTCAATTCGTTGTAGAATCACATATGATTATTCAATTTAAAATTTTGATGAACAATCAAGGTCAGGAATTTTCATCTTTCCATATTCAATGTTTGCTCTGAAATTGTGATACCCCTCTCCATGCTATCGAAATCAGTATTTCAGCAATGACTAATTTTTTTTTTTTTTTTTTTTTTTTTTTTTTTTTTTTTTTTTTTGGGAGTTTTGTGGCTTCTATTCCTTTGTTCAAATTTTTTTAGGAATCTACAGCCATCTATAGACAAATGGGGTTATTTCGAGCTGAGTAGGATTTGAAAGAGTAGGATTGTAATATTGGACATTTTTAGGATTTTTAGGGAGTTTGGTGGGGAGATCGTAAAAGTGAGAGACCCCTTCACCAGCTTCACGCCAAGAGGCTCGACATAGTGACTCATAAGAAGATGATTGACTGAGCCATGGAAAACGTACCAAGTGAACAATCAGGACGAATTGTTTGGTAGGGCATGGAAGGGTTGTATGGACAATGAGCTTGTTCAGCAATTCGTAATTCTTGCATTTTTGGAAACTAGAGAGTGCACAGAGTTCACAGGAATTTTCCCCGATTTTTTTGAGCAATATTAACTCACGAAATACGAGTCCAAAAGT